ACTTCAATATACAAAATTATATACAAAATCTAGTCATAAGGAATTATTACATGATTACTCCACCAGTCACTAGAACAGCACACACACTCAGAAATGGAATATTATTTGCAGATAATTAATTCAATATCAAAAAATCTTTTTAGACCAATGAGGTGAAATAGGATGATTTTCTACACCTGACCATCACTAACGGCACACTAGTGGTTTAAAAACACTGAGTTAATTTGAGCTCCACCCAGAGCTCAGACTGGTGCTGAAATCCTCCAAAATCCTCCTCAGATTCAAAAACCACCAGAGGAAACGGGTCTGAATTCCTCCTGAAGGAGAGTCAGAACGACTCCGTCAGGTTTTCACTCGCCTCCGTTCAGCCTCCAGAGGCTCAGGCTAACAGGCTAGCTCCCGGGCTAGTTGTCAGGCTAGCTCCCGGGCTAGCTCCCGGGCTAACTGTCAAGCTAATCCCCAGGCTAGCTCAGATTAACTCAGACTAAGGCTAGCTTTCAGGCTAATCCCCAGGTTAACTGTCAGGCTAACTGACTGAGGTTAACTCTGAGGTTAACTTACAAGGTAGCTATCAGGCTAACTGTCAGGCTACCTCCCGGGTTAATCCCCAGGCTAACTGTCAGGCTAGCTCCTGGGTTAGCTGTCAGGCTAATTGTCAGGCTAGCTCCCAGGTTAATCCCCAGGCTAACTGTCAGGCTAGCTCCTGGGCTAGCTCAGATTAACTCGGACTCAGGCTAACTGACATAGGCTAACTTTCAGGCTAACTGTGAGGCTAGCTCTCAGGCTAACTCTCAGGCTAAATCTCGGGCTCACTCTCGGGCTAACTCTTAAGCTAACTCTGACTCAATCTAGCTTTCATGCTAACTTTCATGTTCACTCTCGGGCTAACTCTCATGTTAACCGTCAGGATAGCTCTCGGGCTAGCTATCAGGCCAACCCTCAGATTGACTCTGACTCAAGCTAGCTTTCATGCTAACTCTCGGGCTAACTCAGATGAACTCAGACTCAGGCTAGCTCTCAGATTGACTGTGACTCAAACTAGCTTTTATGTTAACTTTCATGCTAACTTTCAGGCTAGCTTGATGTGTCTTTGTGGGACGTGTTTTCCTCTCTATTGATTTAAGATGTTTGAATATGGAAACCTTTGAACAAATGCTTGAGAATCCTTAAAAAAAAAGCTAGCTGGCTAACTATCGAACCAAAATCCTAAATGTATCGCTATTAACTTAATTAAATTACTTTTGCAGATGGAACATTTGAACTGACTGAAGAAAAATTTAGAGACAAATGACAAAAATGTAATATTGGAGTTATTTAATTAAAGAATATTTGGAAATGTGTTCATTTCTATGTATTTACTTGAACCTTTTGTTAATTTATCAGTTAGATTTTGAACTCAAATCAAGGATTTATTTCTCTTTTCAACCAGATATGAAAGAAAAGATTAAATAATAAAGCAAACTGGAGTTTTTCACTGCTTAATTAATTTACTAAACAGATTTCTGGGTCCAGTTTGAAGTCCAGTTCCAGATTTTTGCTGTGACAAATTAATAAAAAATCACTTTAAATCTCTGTAAAACTTACGTTTTTCGTCTTTTTCTGTTGATTTTCAGGTCAGAAAATGAAAGAAATTCCTGATTTCTTGAGGGGTTTCAATTCAAAACATGACGAAGAACTTTTTTTTTTTTTTTTTTTTTTTTTTTTTTTTTTTATCACTTTTCTTTTGCTTGAACAGAGAAAATCCCAGAGCAGACTTTCACCTTTTCAGCTTTATCTCCTTGTTTTATGTTAAAGGGAAGAATCCACCAGCCGGGAAAAGCCTGAACGTGCAGGTTTGAATATTTAGGCCATGGGCTGGAAATAGCCCGAACCCTTTTAGAGTAAAACACATTAACGGGAGGATCAGAGCGGCCCGGAGCTTTTAATCCACGTTTTTACGGCATTTCTGAGCATTTTCCGCCTCTAAAAGTTCATCTATAAACACCAAAGGCCTTTAAATCCAGAGGAAATGCTTCGTTTTGTCATTTTATGCCAAACAACTGATCAGTTTATGCTCAAAATAAGCCTGGAAACCTGATTTCTGCACGTTTTAAACCTTTATTTCTCCTGTTTTTGTGCCTAAAATGTAAAAAAAAATGGATTTCTGATCCTTTTCCAGCTTAATCCAGTCGGTATTGTTTAGATTGTCTTCAACAAGATGGAAAAACGGGGCCCCTCAGGTAGATTTTTGGCCTAAAAAGATCAAATAATAATAAAATAAAAGAAGAAAAGAAGCCAGACAGTAAGCAGAGGCCAAAAGTGAAGGATGATAAGCTCAATAAAGTCATAAAACACATTAATTTATCTAGTTTTTTAGGAAATGCCACATAAATGTTCTGCTAGTGTCTTTTCTGTCTGTTAAATCTGATGAGGCCTCATTTAAATTTCCATATATTAGCAGCATTAGCTTTATTACAGTTATTTTCTTTAAGCTTTTTGATCTTTTTAGATGCTTTTTTGGCTTTTTTTGCCACACGAATCACTAAAACCCTTCATTTTTTTCTCTGGATTATATAAAACCAGACACAGAAGTTTGATTAGTGCTTTTTCTGCCTGTTAAGTCTGATGAGGCCTCATTTAAATTTAATATATTAGCATCATTAGCTTCATTAGAGCGCTTCTCTTTGAGCTTTTTAGCTGATTAATTTACTTTTTAGCTGCTTTTTGGCCTTTTTCTTTGCCATGTGAGTCGTTTATACCCCTCATTTTCTCTCCAGTTTTAATAAAACCAGACACAAAAATTTGATTTGTATCTTTTCTGCCTGTTAGCTTCATTAGAGTTCTTTTCTTTAAGCTTTTTAGCTGCTTCTTTGGCTGCATTTTGGTCTTTTTAGATGCTTTTTGACCTTTTTTTGCCAAAGAAATCACTAAAACCCTTAATTTTTTGTCTGGATTTTATAAAACCGGACACAGAAGTTTGATCAGTGTCTTTTCTGCCTGTTAAATCTGATGAGGCCTCATTTAAATTTCCAATATTAGCACCATTAGCTTCATTAAAGTTATTTTCTTTAAGGTTTTTTTCTGCTTTTTGGCCTTTTTGGCTGCACTTTGGTCTTTTTAATCTGCTTTTTGGTCTTTTTTTTGCCACACAAATCACTGAAACCCCTCATTTTCACTCCAGTTTTGATAAAAACAGACACAGACTAGTGTCTTTTCTGCCTGTTAGCTTAATTAGAGTTCTTTTCTTTAAGGTTTTTTGCAGATTTTTGGCCTTTTTGGCTGCATTTTGGTCTTTTTCTTTGCTATGTGAATCATTAAAACCTTTCATTTTCTCCCCAGTTTGATAAAACCAGACACAGAAGTTGGACCAGAGTCTTTTCTTGTTAAATCTGATGTGGTGGAGTTTTAATTAGCTTTAATGGATCTGATTCCTCTGAGAGCTGCTGGCTGCTGGACGCCTGCTGATTTCTGATTTATTTTGATGTTTTCAGTCTGGTTTTTAAACCAGAGAGGCTAATTAAAGTGACACGATCCGAGCTTTTAGTGGAATTAAATCATTAAACGAAGCTGCTAACTTAGCAACCTCCTCAAACTCTGTGTATAAAACATAAAAAAATCAGTTTAAGGCACTTTAAGGAACATAAAAACTCAATTTAAGTAATTTTAAGAAAATGTAAAAAACTCAGTTTAAGGAACTTTAAGGGACATAAAAAACTCAGTTTAAGGAACTTTAAGGAACGTAAAAAAAAACAGTTTAAGGAACGTAAAAAAACTCACTTTAAGGAACTTTAAGGAACGTAAAAAACGTAAAAAACTCAGTTTAAGGAACTTTAAGGAACGTAAAAAACTCTAAGGAACTTAAAAAAACTCAGTTTAAGGAACTTTAAGGAACTTTAAGGAACGTAAAGAACTCCGTTTACGGAACGTAAAAAATAACTCGATTTAAGGAACGTAAAAAAATCACTTTAAGGAACTTTAAGGAACGTAAAAAACGTAAAAAAACTCAGTTTAAGGAACTTTAAGGAACGTAAAAAACTCTGTTAAGGAACGTAAAAATCTCAGTTTAAGGAGCTTTAAGGACCTTAAATACTCTGTTTACGGGGGTAAATATCTCAGTTTAAGGACCTTAAATACTCTGTTTACGGGGGTAAATATCTCAGTTTAAGGACCTTAAATACTCTGTTTACGGAGGTAAATATCTCAGTTTAAGGAACGTAAATACTCCGTTTAAGGGACATAAAAAACTCAGTTTAAGGAACTTTAAGGAACGTAAATACTCTGTTTACGGATGTAAATATCTCAGTTTAAGGAACGTAATTACTCCATTTAAGGGACATAAAAAACTCAGTTTAAGGAACTTGAAAAACTCAGTTTAAGGAGCTTTAAGGAACGTAAATACTCCGTTTACGGGGATAAATATCTCAGTTTAAGGAACGTAAAGACCTCTGTTTAAGGAACTTTAATGAACGTAAAAAACTATATTTAAGGAACCTAAAAATCTCAGTTTAAGGAACTTTAAGGAACGTAAAAAACTCTGTTAAGGAACGTAAAAATCTCAGTTTAAGGAGCTTTAAGGACCTTAAATACTCTGTTTACGGGGGTAAATATCTCAGTTTAAGGACCTTAAATACTCTGTTTACGGGGGTAAATATCTCAGTTTAAGGAACGTAAATACTCCGTTTACGGGGATAAATATCTCAGTTTAAGGAACGTAAAGACCTCTGTTTAAGGAACTTTAATGAACGTAAAAAACTATATTTAAGGAACCTAAAAATCTCAGTTTAAGGAACTTTAAGGAACGTAAAAAACTCTGTTAAGGAACGTAAAAATCTCAGTTTAAGGAACTTTAGGGAACGTAAATACTCTGTTTACGGGGGTAAATATCTCAGTTTAAGGAACGTAAAGAGCTCTGTTTAGGGAGCTTTAAGGACCTTAAATGCTGTGTTTACAGGGTAAATATCTCAGTTTAAGGACCTTAAATACTCTGTTTATGGGGGTAAATATGTTTCTTTGTCCCCCAGAGGCCCGGCTGCAGGATGGAGGACGGGAAACCCGTGTGGGCGCCACACCCCTCAGACGGGTTCCAGCTGGGGACCATCGTGGACATCGGGGCCGACAGCCTCTCCATCGAGCCCCTCCAGGGGAAGGGCAAGGTGAGGGGGGTATTATTATGGAGAAATATCAGGTTTTATTGTTTTATTTCAAAATGAGCTCATTCAGAGCTGCTTTTGTAGGTTGAAAAGCAAGAATTCAACATTTAAATTGGAGATATTCTCATTTATTTTGATTTGTTTTAGTAATTTATCTGATTCCCAAAAGAATTTATACAGATTATTTATTTTTATTATCGAAAATTATCAAGTTTTGATTGTTTTATTTCCAAATTAGCTCATTTAGTGGAAACCAGAGCTGGTTCTGGAGGAGAAAAGCAGGAATTCAACGTTTAAATGTGAGATATTTTGATTTGTTTTAGTAATTTATCTGATTTCCAAATTAATTTATACAGATTATTCCTTTTTTTTTAATGGAAAATTTTTAGAGGGATTATGAACCAAACTGATGAAAGAGACAGCCTCTCCATCGAGCCCCTCCAGGGGAAGGGCAAGGTGAGGGGGGTTTATTACGGAGAAATATCAGGTTTTATTGTTTTATTTCAAAATTAGCTCATTCAGAGCTGCTTTTGGAGGTTGAAAAGCAAGAATTCAACATTTAAATGTGATATATTCAGATTTATTATGATTTGTTTTAGTAATTAGTAAGATTTTTTCTTTTTTTTCAATGGAAAACTATCAAGTTTTCTTTGTTTTGTTTTAAAAAGAGCTCCTATTTTTAGAGGGATTATGAACCAAACTGATGAAAGAGACAGCCTCTCCATCGAGCCCCTCCAGGGGAAGGGCAAGGTGGGGGGGGGTATTATTATGGAGAAATATCAGGTTTTATTGTTTTATTTCAACATTAGCTCATTTAGTGGAAACCAGAGCTGATTCTGGAGGAGAAAAGCAGGAATTCAACGTTTAAATATGAGATATTCCAATTTATTTATTCATTTTTTAGTATTTTATCTGATTTCCAAATTAATTCATACAGATTTATTTCTATTTTTAATGGAAATCTATCACATTTTCATTGTTTTATTTCAAAATTAGGTAATTTAGTGGAAACCAGAGCTGGTTCTGGAGGAGAAAAGCAAGAATTCAACATTTAAATGTGATATATTCTCATTTATTTTAGTTTCTTTTAGTCATTTATCTGAATCCCAAATTAATTTATACAGATTTAGTCTTTTTTTCTATGGAAAATTATCAAGTTTTCATTGTTTTATTTTAAAATTAGCTCATTTAGTGGAAACCAGAGCTGGTTCTGGAGGAGAAAAGCAGGAATTCAACGTTAAATGTCAGATATTACGATTTATTTAGATTTGTTTTAGTAATTAATCTTATTTCCAAATTAATTTATACAGATTATTTCAGTTTTTTATGGAAAATGATCAAGTTTTCATTGTTTTATTTCAAAATGAGCTCATTCAGGGGTAATCAGAGCTGGTTCTCACGTTTAGATTTGAGATATTCTGATTTATTTATTTATTTTTAGTAATTTATCTGATTTCCAAATTTATTTATGCTGATTTTTTTCCCAATGGAAAACTATCAAGTTTTCATTGTTTTATTTCAAAATGAGCTCATTTAGTGGAAATCAGAAAAGCAGAAATTCAAAGTTTAAATTTGAGATATTGTGATTAATTTTGATTTGTTTTAGTAATTTATCTGATTCCCAAATTAATTTATGCAGATTATGAAATTTTTTATGGAAAAACTATCAAGTTTTCATTGTTTTGTTTTAAAAAGAGCTCCTATTTTTAGAGGGATTATTAACCAAACTGATGAAAGAGACACTTTAAGGTGTTTTAAAGCCTTTTATTGTCCTCTCAGGTCAGTTTGACTGAAGCTAAAAGTCTAAAATGAGAGAATTCAAAGTTTAAAACTGAGATATTCTGATTTATTTAGATTTCTTTTAGTCATTTATTTGATTCCCAAAGTAATTTTTGGGATTTTTTCAGCTTCTAGTGGAAAAACGATCAAGTTTTCATTGTTTTATTTTAAAACTAGCTCCTATTTTAGAGGGATTATTAACCAAACTGATGAAAGAGACACTTTAGGGTGTTTTAAACCCTTTTAAAGTATCAAATAAGAGTAAAAGTTGAGTTTCTGCTCCTTATTGAGTCTGTTTCTGCTCCTGAACTCCAGTTTCTGCTTCTGTCTGGACATCTGCTGAACAGAGCTCATTCAGGGAAACCAGAGCTGATTCTGGAGGAGAAAAGCAGGAATTCACAGTTTAAATCTGAGATATTCTGATTTATTTTGATTTCTTTTAGTAATTTATCTGATTCCAAACTGACTTTAGTGGGATTCTTTCATCTTCTGGTGTAAAAACTGAGGTCTTTCCATCATTTTAGTGTAAAATCAGCTCCTGTTTTCAGAGGATTCTTCATCAAACTGAGCAGAGAGACACTTTCAGCCTCATTTTAAGTTAAATTGAGTCTGTTTCTGCTCCTGAACTCCTGTTTCTGCTTCTGTATCTAATATCAGAGCTCATTCAGGGGAAACCAGAGCTGTTTTTTCTCCTGAAGTGGGAGATGAGATCTTTCTGAATCCTCTTCTGGTCAAACATTAACCGGACTCTGCAGGTGGAACCGGTCTGTTCGGGTCGAGTGGCTCTTTGTGGAATACAAAAAAAACCCCCCCCCCCCTTTAAAAGCCTCCAGACTCCCCTAAAAGCCCCATAAATCACATAAATCAGGCCAGAAGTGGCGTTTCCCCTCCGGTTTCTGAGCCCCTAAACGCAACTGCTGAGCTCACAGAGGGGTTTAAAGGATTTAAATAGTCCACCTTAAATGTCAAAGTTTGATTTGTGTCTTTTCTGGCCTCATTTAAATGTCCTATATTAACACCATTAGCGTCATTAAAGTTATTTTCTTTAAGGTTTTTTTTTTTTAGCTGCTTTTTTTGGTCTTTTAGCTGCTTTTTTAATCTTTTTGGCTGCTTTTTTTGGTCTTTTTAGCTGCTTTTTGGCTTTTTTTTGCCACACAAATCACTAAAACCCTTCATAAGTTGGACTTAAATCTTAAAGTCCACCTTAAATGTTAAAGTCCACCTTAAAAAGGGCCCTAAAGGGCCCCCACACCAGAGGCTGGTTCAGAGGGGTCCATCTCTCAGAAGAGCCTCTAAAATAAAGGCCAAAGCAAAATTACAGACATAAAACACAAGAAAAGAGTTTCACAGCAAAGTTTTCTTCCTTTCAGCTTCTTTAAGGACGTTTAAGAAAAGAAATGATTAATGGAGAATTAAATAATGTGAAAATAAAACATAAAACAATTAAGGAATTTAAGCAAAAGAAATATTCAAATGTAAAGGGACTAAATGGGCTTAGAAGTATTCATTTATTTATATTTTACATTCATTTTTTTATTTGTTTTTTATTTCTAATATTTACTTGTCTTTGTATTTATTATTTGTTTTTATTAATTTGTCTTTATATTTTTTATTTTTAATAATTTGTATTTTCATTTATATATTTTTATACACTTATTTGTTGTTTCGTTCATTTATATTGATAACTTTCTCATTTGTTTCATTTGTTTTTATATTTGAAACATTTTCATTTATTGATTTATTTATTTGTATATTTCCTGAAATTTTTCTTTTCTTTTTGTGGTGCTATTTTTTTATTCCATAGCGTCTAACATGCCAAAGATTGAGCTGGATTTAGTCTCAAAGACCCACTCATGTTTCAGACCTTCTTCCTGAATTTTTCCCTCTTTAATGAAGTAAATAAAAACCAAGTTTCTGATTCTGTCTCTGATTCTGACTCTGTTTCTTCTCCAGACGTTTCTGGCTCCCATTAACCAGGTTTTCCCGGCAGAGGACGACGTAAACAAGCATGTGGAGGACAACTGTGAGTCCTGGGGGGGGGCAGAGGTGTATAAAGTACTAGAGTAGAAGTACAAGTACTATATAAAATGATTATTATTTACTATATAAAAGTAGAAGTATTCTTTCAACACCATACTTAAGTGGAAGTACGGAAGTACTCCATTTTGTTTTTACTTAAGTATTACAAGTAGAAGTATTTCAAAAATTGCTACTAAAGAATTGAAAGTACAAGTATAAGTAAAAGTACAAGTACTGTGTATATTAAAAAAAGGCAGTCAAAAGTGTGATAGATGTTGTTTATATTATTTCAAACGTGTGAAAGGCCATACAGGTGTTTACAAAAACAGAAAACTACATCTGCATTAGCATCAACAGCACTTCATCTACTATTATTTATTATTCCAGAGTCAGAATCCTGAGCTGAGCCTTTATGCTAGCATGTAGCATACAGCTAGCCAGCTAGGTTAGCTTGAGTTAACGTTAGCATACAGCAAGCCAGCTAGGTTAGCTTTAGCTAAAGTTATCATACAGCTAGCCAGCTAGGTTAGCTTTAGCTAACGTTATCATACAGCTAGCCAGCTAGATTAGCTTGAGTTAACGTTAGCATACAGCAAGCCAGCTAGGTTAGCTTTAGCTAACGTTATCATACAGCTAGCCAGCTAGGTTAGCTTTAGCTAACGTTAGCTGCTACGTCCTGAGTGAACAGGCAGAACTGAACTAGCGTTTATTTACTAGCTTATATGTCATTGTAATTTTTAACTTACCTTGATATGCTTCTTCAGATTAGATTGGGAAAAAATTTTATTTTTCGGGAGGCATTTTTTTAATAGGCTATATTAATGGCTAAAATCGGCCAATGAGGAGCCAGCTTCCCAAACCCTGACAGAGCTATCTATCATTACGTTTACATATCAGTAACCAGTAACAATTCAGCCCGTGAAAAAGTAAAAGTAAAAGTATTAAATTAATCAAAAATATGTAGTGGAGTAAAAGTAAAAGTATTAAATTAATCCAAAATATGTAGTAAAGTAAAAGTATTAAATTAATAAAAAATATGTAGTGGAGTAAAAGTGAAAGTATTAAATTAATCCAAAATATGTAGTGGAGTAAAAGTAAAAGTATTAAATTAATCCAAAATATGTAGTGGAGTAAAAGTAAAAGTATTAAATTAATCAAAAATATGTAGTGGAGTAAAAGTAAAAGTATTAAATTAATCCAAAATATGTAGTGGAGTAAAAGTATTAAATTAATCAAAAATACGTAGTGGAGTAAAAGTAAAAGTATTAAATTAATCCAAAATATGTAGTGGAGTAAAAGTATTAAATTAATCAAAAATACGTAGTGGAGTAAAAGTAAAAGTATTAAATTAATCCAAAATATGTAGT